TGAAGATGGCCAAAGTCGAGATCGCGGAATGTGGCATCGTTCCCAACGAGGGATGACTTCCAGTGGTCGTGGAAGTAGTTCCAGGAAACAGTGATCCAGTCCGAGGCACGGATAATATCAACCTGACAGCCCCGCGTGGTCTTCATGTTCTGGAAGCCATCGTGACGCTCGAGCAGGTTGCAAGTCATGAATTTGAGAGCCGAGATTTGCAACAGGCTGGCCATGACGGGGTCAAAAATGTCGGGAGCCTGACGCAGCAGGCCCGCCAGCCCTTCGAGCATGGCGTTGGGCTGGGTCTCGCCGTTGAGGAAGCGCCGCTGGAAGTGCTGGGCCTCGTCCATTCCGCCTTCATTCTGGCCCACGATGTCGTCGTACTGAACGACGAGCCAGGTGAAGAGCCCAACATAACCCTGCACTTCTATCGGGTGACGGGGATGGCACATCTGTTGCGGGTGTTCCGTCAGCACGCTACTTATCACAATCACATTTTAATCCATGGAGAATTTCCAAAATAAAAACGAGGTATTATTCAAACGTCAAAACGTCGCTTTAGGGTAGCATGAATGGTAAGGAGGTGGGATACATACCGCAGCTAGTGAGAAGCCCAGGCGGAACCCCTTCTGGGAGAGAGGGGTATCGAGTGGCCATCCGATCTCGACGGCTCTCTTGTGCATATATTTCAGCAGCGCTTCGACGGACTCGCGCTTGACCCGTGGGACGCCGGGGTACTTGAGGTCCTCGAGCATCTGTTTGCAAATGGGCTTGCAGAGGGCAGCCAGCCGCTTGGGCTCCTTTGCCAGGTCATCTTCGAGGCGGATTCGCTTCGGGGCGCACATTCCCCACACGGAGCTGAGCATCCGGAGCCACGGCTGGGCAACCGAAACAGCGGCGCTGTTGATTCCTCCAGGGCTGAGACCGGGAGGGCTGACCATAATCTTGGGCGAGGTGGACATTAAGGGCAACAAGTGAGAGCTCAAGAGGAGCGAGCTCTAGAGGAAGGGCGGTGGGTTAGTAAGGGCGGTTAATACTGGATATGAATTGTCGGTGTAGGTAGAGTTTAGTCTAGAAGAAGCACAGACAAGAAGCTAATGACCATATCCATGAAACCTCTTGACGGGGGAGACCTGGGCTTTTTATTCCTAACATGGGCTCGCGATGTTCCCATGGACAGGGAGGTCGAGATGAAAGGCATGTGGGTGGCAGGGCATCGAGAGGTTTCCATTTCGAGCGAGGTGCCGGGGCGAAGGAGAAGGAGGAGGCATTCGGCGGTCCAGGTTTGGCTACGGCGGCAATGGTGAGGTGGTGAGCGAGGCAACGATCTGGAAGAGGTAAGGAATAGTGGCATCAGGGCAAAGTGAGAGAAAATGCGGTGCGATTTGATACCTCGATCGCCAGCCATCGCTCCCTCATCCCTAGGTCAAACCAAACCGTTTGACGGTTCGCCGTTGGCTCGTGTGGCATGTGGAGAGGGTTAAGAGCAAAGTGGGCTTAGTCCCAGTTGCTAGTTCAACAACGCTGCAGGTTTGTCCTTCGTTGTTGGAGGTACACTACTTTTGTGTACACACGCTACAATGTGCATTGGTACCGCGGTCTAGCCAGGGCCCCTAGGGAGGACATTACCCAGGCTGGACCGGGTTGACAAGTTGTTAGTGGGGAATGGGCAAGCATTCCCAAGGATCGTGGTCATGCAATGCAGCAAGAGAAAGATGGTGGTGGTGGTGTACAAAGTTTGTGCGAGAGTGGACGGAGGAAGGTCCGTGACGGAGACCAACCACGCAGTAGACGATGGATCATGGTGCCAGGAAATATCAAGTGAACTAAGGTCGAGTGCCGATACGCAGGCTCGGGTACAGACTACACTACAGAGTCCAGACTTGAGGTCACAAGAGTGGTGTGCTGTCATGGTGCTGGATGTAAGGGATTGTGTGGGTGAGGTAGTGTGTGCTCCGTAGGCGACTCCGTGGAGGGGGGTTTGATTGTGAGATCATCCCGAAACCGCATCAACTCCCGGATCGCATCATGGACCATGGATGTGAAGCTGTTGACGGCCAGGTTTCCCCAAGTGTGCCTAAAATGGGTGTATTCCCGGGTTGACGATATATGTGCAGCGTAGTAAGACCGCAAGAGAGGTGGCTTAGGGCAGTGTCAAAGACGGGAAGCATGGCATATTTTCGGAGGGGGAGTTGCGAAGTTGCGGCGTGCGGTGCGGTGATGACGACGCACGTGAGTTTGTAGTCAGCAAGGAACATGGTAGCCCCGAGTCAGGAGGTGGTGGGACGGCAGGAACGGGTCCCAGAAAAAGAGAAGATAAAAAAGGAGCCCACCCAAGAGCGCAAGAGCCGTCAGCGTCTGTCAGGGCCTGTGTTACTCCGTACCTGCCATCCCATACACGCAGGTCGCAAGAAGGAAGTGGGGGTCATCTGGGGTCGTGCGAACATTGGCTTCCCAAACATGACATGATCATCTCCAAATTGCTCCTCCATACACTCCGTACCCAGCACACAAACCTAGCATTCAACCCAGTACGGAGCGCCTACCTTACTGTCAGGACGGGTCCAATTGTGCCCGCCAACGGTTGCCAAGTGGAAAAGGGGGGCTCTTCCCCTACTGTGTACGTAGTACGAACAGCTTGCCTATCCTTACACAGTATCCGTACAGGCTACCCATAGGTAATCCATCCATGAAATCCATCCCATCAGAGCCGTAATGCGGTAGCCGTAAAGGACCAAGTAGGTGGCTGCGGGCCATGCCTTGGAGCCATGCCGTGGCTTCGTGCCTTGGTGCTGGGGTGGGCGGGGGTGGCACGCTGCACTCACAGACTCCCAAACCCAGAGCAGTAAAGCTCCAATACACACAAGATGGCTGCCGCTTTCGCTAGGTGTTCCGTCCCATTCCCTCTGGTCCCGTCTCAGCTTCGGCGTTCCGTGAGCCGTACGGGTCTGGAACTGTGGACAGTTACGGCGTAGTTGCTTGTTCACTTGGTGACTATGTGGCTGTTGCGGCCGTTGTATGGAATCATTCGAATCAGACGAACACGCGCACGAACACGCGAATTGCCGGATGGCGGATGGGGGCGCAGATTCACCATTCGGAGGGGGTCTCAGTCGGAGGAGGGAGATTGCGTTTGCAGAATGGTCGAGGCATCGGAGCGAGAAACCTGGAAAAACCTTGCTTTGGCTTTTAGATCGCCGAACATTTGAATTACCATGGATGGTCCATGACCTATTTTTCTGCCCACTCGATGCTCTGGGTCTGGTTGTCCTACCTTACCAAGCGTGCAAGCCTGCCACCACCTTGCTTACTCCGTACGTTACGCGAACTTGCGGCTTTGCGTGCGTGTCGTGTCCTGACGAAAGTGTTCCGTTGCCCTCCACAGGTAAAAGGGAAATCCACAAGGTCTTCTTGGTACGTTGGGTCTCTGCACAAATGCAGCAGAGAAGTGGCCGTTTTCAGCCGTCGCCTTCTCCACCGGGTCCATGCCGGGTCATAGGGTACGTAGCAGGCAGCCAAAGCCAGAACCAGGCAAGCAACGCCAAGCAAGGGTTCTTTCCCTTTTGCTGCCGTCTACTGCACAGTACGTATGTGCTCTTTGCTCAACTCACCACAAAGTTCAACTTCGCGTGCTGGTTGCGTGGTGCATCTGTCATCCAGCTTCATTGTTCCCCGTCCACCATCTCGTCAAATTGTGTCACTATTCAAAGCAATGACCGAACCGATAGACCAGCCGCTCGCCACGCTGCTGCCAGTACGACTGCCGTGCCGCTCTCCTTGGAAATGTTCCCGAATGTCTCTGATGGCGACCACCACACGCATCCACGCTCCACCACCACCACCAGTCCACAAGCACACAACCACGCATCAAGACTTAGTTACGACACACACCCCCTCCCTCTTCCCCTTGAACCTTGAACCTTCCCACCTGCGACCCCTGGATAGCGTGAGCCCGTCTCCTTCTGAAGGAGGGGGAAGCTAGCCGTATCCCGTCGAACTTCGTCGACCTTTACGCCCCATTGGCACGCTGTGCCCGTCTTTTTCGGCTTCTCTCTGTCTCGCTGGAATGTCTGGCTGGAGTCTGGACCCCTGTGCTATGAAAATCTCAACCCGAGCATGGCATTGGGAACAGCCGACAGCATCGATGCCCCCAGAGATCCCCTGCCCAAGCCGCTGGGCCCGCATCTGCGCCTTCTTGGTATAAACGCCGGCGTCCCGTTCGGAGTCCTCACTTCTGCGCTGGACGCGCTTCAGATTCGCCCTGCCGTTGCATTGTTGGTGTGCGACCCAGACACTCACACGCCGCAAGTCAAGTCAAATCCTGTCAGCAGCAGCAGCAGCAGCAGCAGCAGACCCGTACGGATACTTCGTAATACCTACCTTACTCTCGGAAACTGAGTGTGAGACTGAGTGTTGGAAACCCACCCCTGCCCTGCCACCCTTTCCACTCTCCTACAGCTCAACCTGCAGAAACTGGAGAAGAAGAGAGAGGGAGATACCGGTAGCAACAGGCCCTCACCTGAGACCGAATCTGGAGCACAGGAATCGGCATATCAGAGACAGGAAAAAAGCACATACGGATACCGGTACCTTACACAGAATCTGTGAGGGGTGAACAATCGAGACAACTGTTTGTTGCTGTCTCCTGCTTGGCCGAGTTCTCGCCCGATCCCGCTCGCTCGCTCGCTCGCTCCGCCGAACCGAACCAGAGCATTGCTGCCGTTAAGATGAGCATTCAATATCGGCGTCTGGACCCTTCGAGGCGTGAGATCCGCCTGCTTGAGATTCAGTCCGCGCGCAGCCTCAGCGATCCAGTCGAGTGTCGGCTCGTCACAGTTCGCCTGACGGATGAGCTGTCCCGCGAGTACATCGCCCTCTCGTCACTCTATGGCGACGCGGCCGAGACCGAAAAGATCTTCGTGGGCGGCCATGCCGTCACTATCACGGCTCATCTGGCTCAGGCACTGAAGCAGGTCCGCGCCGTCTTCTATCCGACTATCTCGCAGCGCTTCCAAAGGACGCCGGCCAGGCGGCCTCACGGCGCCCCGAGATGGCTTAGGCAGCTCTTCGGTCTCGGTAGCTCACGTCAGAGTGACCTGGAGTCGAGGTGTTTGAGGGTGTGGTGCGACTTCCTCTGCGTCAACCAACGTGACGACGTGGAAAAGTCCAAGCAGCACACGGACATGCGTAACATCTATCGCAACGCGGAGCTTGTCGTCGGGTGGCTGGGCGACAAGAGGGACGACACCGATGAGGCCATGGCCGCTCTCGCGCGGATCGAGGACGCCATGCCGCCCCACTGGGGCGACCCCGGCGACCGCGAAAAGCACCCCGAAGACTACGCGCCATTTCACAAGTGGGCGGTCCCCATTGCGTCTCTATGGGCTCCTGGTCCCGACGGCGAAATTCCGTTCCTGATGCCACATTGGGCCGGTGCCAACGACTTCATGGGCCGCTCCTACTTTCAACGTCGCTGGATCCTTGAAGAGCTCGCCATGGCAAGGTTCCCTACCTTTTTGATTGGAGACACCATTGTTCCGTGGAAGCAGGTACTTCGCTTGAACCGCATGATGGAGGAATTTAAGTATCATCCGTCCGACATCTTCCCCGCGGTAAGTACCTCACCGTACCGTTCTTCTGGAATTTTGGCCTTCAGGCTAAGCCTCCGGCCGGCGCTGTAACGCTCGCCTCACCTACTTCGCCCCCCTTACGGCCGTAAACCTTTGCATGAAGAGATCTCGATCGACTGACCCGGTTTCCGTAGAACCTATCGGCCATGATAGCCGAGTTACCTCTTGAGACAGCGCACAAGCTTCTCGATGAGTTTGCAAAGCGAGAGGCACTAGAGGAGGCCCAGATCCTCAAGGAGACGGGAAGCAGCCGGGCGACCTCGTCCACGCGATCCACCGACACCAAGTAATTGGCGTGGGGTGCGTGCCATCGATACTGGCGATGTTCGGGGTTCTGATCCAGATTTGAGTAGGATCCCGGCGAGAGAGGCAAGGTAGCAGGCGGGTATGGGATGGTCAAGTGCTTATCACTCACCTCAGTGACCTCACTTGTAGCAGGCGGGAGTTGTAGACCAGCCTGGAATGCTGCCAAGCCATGTCCGAAGGGAGGCTTATGGTTTGAGGGGTAATGGGAGGGGAATTCCGCGGAAGGAGGGCTTAGCGTTGTAACGAGGATACCCAAAAGTTCCTTCTAGCTTCATTTTAGCAGGATCTTTGAACTTATTTCTTTTCTTTCTTCTGTTTTGCTTGTGGCCGTTTTGTTCCCTTTCTTCCCGCAAACACATGCGCGCGCACGAGACGAAAAAAACGTACGGTTCCGTCGTGATATAAATACCAAGAGCCGCCTTCCCACAAACACTGTCCGGAATGCGCGGGTACGCTTGCCATGTGGTATTGAAGAATTTCGGACGAAACGGGACGAAACGGGGTCAAACTGGAGCGTTTCCCGAAGCCCCAGCATAATACACACCCATCGCATCACATCACATCAACCCCCTCCCCCCGCCCACTTCACGCCCAGGCTCCATGTCGTGCGACCCCAATGATTCGACTTTTTTTTTTTTTTTGCAAAATATGAAGATTGGAGAGCGGGCCAGCTCAAATGCGAGGAATGATTTGCGAACTTGTGAAGGTTTCCTGCTGGGTCTCCAATAGTGTGATGCAGGATCCTGTGCGATGATAAGTGATACTCTGGGGGGCCTAAGGAAGGGGGGGGGGGGGGCTGTTTCCTCTCTCTGCCTGTCCCTTCTTTGTTGGAGAATGAGAGAGGGGCCATTCTGCAGGCATCGCCAACCAAATAGACTGGTTTCTTTGGACAGGTATCTGTATGGAATCGATGGAATCATCAGAGTCCAAGGACTCGAAGATGCAAGGGTTACCGGAAGAACTGGCCCTGCATGATTTGCGACCTGCTGACCGGCGGATTACGTACTGAGGGAATTTTGTTCGTTGCAGAAACGCAAAAAGGACAGTATTAGCAGCTCGTCTAGGTACTGCATCGCTGCAGCGCGCGCATCATGCAGCTTTCCTGCGGCAATTCCGCTTAAGAAGCAAAGTGCAGCCGGGCAGGGTACGGTACACAGGACAGGGGGCCCGGGGTTTTATATGCAGGTTTTCTCACTCCAACATTTACGGAGTAATATCCGTACTACGTGAACTTTCCTAGGTAAGTCGGCCAAGCGACCGAAACTTACAAAGAAAGACAAACCAACCTCTCCTCTCTCCCTCTCCCTGACGGTCTTGCAGTTGCGAAATAACGTACCGCTTAACCGAGGGAACCGACAGTTTGGCACGCGCCACCACCACCACCTTTCTATTCCGTCCAGTATTCCGTGTCCAACCTGAAACTATATTTGCTTGCCATCCAACCTGCACCAACGCACTCATCCAAAACCAACAGCATGAACCCATCCCCATAACCTGGACATGTGTGCTGTTGGCCATGTTGGAGTTTTTGCTCCCTTTGTCGGGGCCCATGTTGGTGTGGCAATCACATACGATAATTCTTCACCGCTACTACTTGGCCCTGCTTCGTTGGACGGTTGGAGATGGTTTCTTTGACGACGATCATGTACTTGCCTCCAAAGTCACCTTTTGTCTACAAAGTCACTTTCAGTTGATATTCCGGAAGGTGCGGAATTATTGACGTGTTTGGTCCGGGAGTAGTATTGTCAACCGATAACGACGGTGCCTTCTTGGAGCCGAATTGTCCGGAGAGTCTCTCGTCCCCAGGATTTTTCGTAATTGTTATCTTTCATATTTTCTCTCTGAGTCGCTCTTTGCGATCGTTACAGAGCAGGAGGGCTCGAACTGATGGAAGTCAACAATTGAACGCCAACTAGCTTGTTCAAAGACACAGACTGATCTGCTTCGCCAACCTCATGGCGACCAAGCCGCGAGCGAGTTGGCAGAATATCTTTGGTTTTGCTCATCAGATCATGCGAGAATTCTCGCGCACATAAAACGTCACAAACAACACTTGAGTTGTGATGGTCCTGACCAACTACGAATACGTTCTTTTGTTCATACAGGATTCTGCTCCAGCCAGCCAGCCACCCAAAAGCTCGAGCTATTTATTATCAGCAAGTGGCAGCGAGACACGACTCGAGTATGCATGCAAGTTCTGACGAGTCGCAATTCCTACGAAAAAGACGCAAAGAATAGGGGGCCTAGTTACAAAATTGTGTCGCATCGTGTCAAGAAGTGCGACAATTGAATTTTGAGAGAAAGGTGTGTTAATGCAATTGAAATGAGTGTTACCAAGTGTTGAGGCTCTACGGATACGAATTGCAAAAATGCAACTGTAGCGTCAAAACTCGAGCCGCGCCAAACATCCGACCACCAACGGCAAACCCCACAATTTCTTGTTCCCCTCCCCTCCCGCAAAAGTGCGTGTGAGGTTGGATTTGGCACCTCTTGTTCGCTCGGAACATGACAAAGAGAAATTGGTGGCCGATCAACCAGAGTGGCATAAGAAGCGAAACAGCGAGAGGGTTGCGATTTGCGAAGCGAACCGCTCAGATCACTGTTTAGTGGGGATCTTTCCCCAGTTTGATGACTTTCGTGCAGCTCTTGGCCGGCCGGTGGCACGAAAGAAGAAGAAGGAAACATCCCATGAATCCAATCCCATCCAATGCAAACCATCCCAAACCAACCGAACCGAACCCCACGCACGCACGCACGCACGCACGCACGTACTGTCACGCACGTACATCCGTACGGTACGGCCTCGGCCGTGCCGCAACCCTGCATGGGGAGTGTGGTTGTACAAAGTCTTGTTTTGTTTTTTTCTTGCCTTGAGCCTCCAACCTGCCTTTTCCTGCATCACTCCGAAAAATGTCTCGTTTGTTGAACGACATGCGGGCGAGCATATGCAAACCTAACTCAAGGCCCGAGGTAGCATCAGAGATCCTAATCTGCGGATGCAATGAGTGAAAGAATGGGCAGAAAAAAAAACACGAAAAACGAAAAAGAGACAAGATGGAGGAATGTTCAGGCCGTTCTAGGCCTATATATACAATAGGACTCCATTTCAAGGGTTGAGCCACTATCGTCGCATCGTGATACCACAGCCACGGGAGCTCCAGAACATCTGCTCCTGAGGGATGTCTCGGAAACTTCCATCTCTGCACAGCAAACGGCCAAGATGGTGAATAATCATCACGGGGGATGATCTTTGTGGCTCTTCTTCACGACGAATAAAGTAGGCCACCTCGGACTTTCGGGTGAGAGGCGAGACTTTACCAGATGCGAACCACACGATGACAACGCCACGTGGACTTCGGCTCTCGAGTTCGACCTTCGGCGAGGTGCAAGTCGATGAATGTTCGCATGTGCTTTCCCTTTGGGCAATGTCGGCGCGGATACTTAGGGTCATCGCGGCACAAGGCCTCCCGCGTTCTTGCCTTTGGGTGCTAAACTATACGAGAAAGACCGGGGGAACGGCGTTTCGATCCCCAATTTCAGGCGCTCGATCTAGCGGGCTCTTTTCTTATTCGTGATACTCCCGAACCAAGAGGATTCTTTGGTCCTGGGTGAGCTGATCTTTGAAAACGGTGTCGCGGTTTCCCGTGAGCTAGACTAACGCCACCAAAAGCCAGCACCCTCTGGAATGTTGGGGGGGGGGGGGGGATGATCCAGCCGCCGTCTCAGCTCTAGGCCTCTAGGCCCTCCCGAAAGCGAGAGACACTTTACCACTTGCGGCGCGAGAAGGAGGGAAGAAGAAGCAATGACTGCTTGATCCAAAGTCTTACGTCTAGAGCCGATTTGTTGCCTGCTGCCCTTCTCACTCGTTCCCATCGATCGAAAAGAAAAGGGTGGCACGGATGGGAATTTCCCTTGCTTTTGTCGTGCGCCTCCATTGACTGCATGCGTCCAAGGCGCAACCTCTTCTCGCAGCCACCGTCCATCGTCGACCACAGCCGCCAGCCGTCAGCTACAGCTACAGCTACAGCTACAGCCCGCCCAAGAATGTAGGTAGGTGCCACTGTCTTGTGATTGTTTCTTTCTCAGCCCAAATGCCAAGGAAAGCGAATCGGTCTGCCTCGCTGCCAACCGTGCTTTGAGACATTTTGGGGTCAAGATCCGGCTTTCTTCGATGATAGTCTTTGGATCTTATTTTATAAGGGATGGCTAGTCCCCCCACAAGCCCCCTAACCCCCCGCGAGCCTTAAACACCCTTCCTCGTCGCACAACCCAAGGGAGAGAGGACCCCTAGACCCAGTCTTTGGAGAGACAGGAGAAGAGAGAGACAGAAAGAGAGAAAGAAAGAGAAACACACGCCCTTAAATCAAATATCAAGAAGCTCTTTTTGAGCGCGGATCGCGCGTTCCATCCATACGCCCAACATGGATCCTTTACCACAGTTATCGCCCGAGCAGTTGCAGGAGGATAAGTCGCCCCTGGTCCTGGGAGTGATATCAATGTGCCTCTTCATATCAACGGGCATATTGATCCTGCGACTCTGGACCCGCTTCCACATTGTCAAGAGAATTGGTATCGACGACTGGGCTGCCGCTTTCTCGTTGGTAAGTTCGAACCAAAGGTTGCAAACCGTGGCAAAGCCTTCGTGGTGTGTTGACGGAAAAGCTGACTGTGGTAGATATCGGTATTAGGCGTCGGTCTTTCGCAGGCAGTGAGTGAGTTTTTGGCCCATTTCAAGTTGCAATATGCGAGTTGAACACTTCAGACTAATCGACGACAGTGACGCGGTATGGGCTCGGGAAACACCAACAGACGGTTCCACCAGGAGAAATGATTGGGTTCATGAAAGTAAGCAGTCTTGCCCCAGAATCGTATCAAACCCGCTCTGACAAATTCAACCGCTTTAGTGCTTTTGGGTATCTGTTCTCTTCTACAGCCTGGGACACTTGTCATTCAAGATGGCATTCTTGCTCCAGTATTATCGCGTACTGGTCACCCACTATATGAAGAAGTACTACATCGCAGCCATGATCTTCGTAGGGGCTTGGGGGCTTAGCGTTGTGATTATCTCCTTTATATGGTGTATTCCCCTTGAGGGATTTTGGGACCACTCAGTACCGGCAAAGTGTCTTCCTCAGCAAGTCCTATTCTACCTCTTCGGGGCCTGCAGTATCGTGACGGACGTTCTCATTTTCCTGCTGCCGCTGCCGGCGCTGATCCAGCTCAAACTTCCGAGGACTCAGAAGCTGTACCTGCTTGGCATCTTCAGCCTCGGATTCCTGTGAGTGTTTCGGCTATTGCGATACTGTCATGCTCGATTTTGACTGACTGACTTTTTTTTTCTCCTTCTAGCATCGTCGGCATTTCCGTCTTGCGCCTCCAATTCCTGAAGATCAATTCAGACTTCACCTACTGGAACGTGGAGCCCGCCATGTGGTCCCTCGGCGAGCTTTCAGCGGCAATGGTATGCCTTTGCCTGCCTCCTCTCAAAGCCCTCGCAGCCCGCATGGGCCTGCTTGTCACCAGGACGGGGACTTCGAGGACTGTTCCCTCGACGGTCGACCGACACAGCCGCAGCCCGGCGTCCAACGCGCCGCTCTCGCCCACTCCCAAAGCGGTCGAGACATACATGATAAACTCTCCGAACGAGAAGCCCGGCAGCTTTGGTAACTACGTGGTGGAGACGGAGCGCAGCGAAGAAGTGATTCGGCCGAGCCCGGCGCACATGGTATAACAATGTACAACAACATGGGACTTTGGGAACCTACGACTTTTATGAAATAATGCATTCTGGAAGGCGCCATCAACAAATTGGGGTTATCTCTTCCGGGGCTGGCTGGGAAATTTGGGTAAATGTAGCATTGGGAGTTTGGGCACATCAGGATACCACCAGACCATGAGTCACAACAGACATTGATAGTAATAATACCATGAAATCACTTTCTCCAAGACAACTTGAAGCTTGAAACTGTAGCTTCGGATGGCTTGATATCAGCAAGACGGCCTGGAACTTAGTTGTTAGCGGGTTACCTCGGCCAACATTTGTCACTGATAAGTACCTATCGCTACTACATTCCTGTCGACGGGGCGACGAAGGATGACATCCCGTACGTTACACAACATTAGCTCTACCACGCTTGCGCTAAGGCTACTCGTACAACCTAGTGTTGGAGATCTGCTTAGTTCGACTTTGTTGCCGCCGCCAAGTGGGACATGGTGGTGAGCCTTAATCTTTAGATTCACTCACACACCAGCAACGGCGGCCATACATAAAATAGAGGTTTTAATTATAACTTCAGTAAGTTATAATAATTGAAAGTATAGGCCGTAATTAGCCCCTGCGCGGTCGGCCGTACGCCGAGGTCGAATTAGACTTTTAATCCGACAATATCTCTTTATCCCTCAAAAGCATTCTCAGGAGGACGAATTTTATCAGCGCAGCTTAAGCCCGACAACAATAATTACCTTAAAAAGATTAATAGCACTGTTATTTGTGAGGTATGTTAGCTCAAAACATAATGAACGAATTCCGGTTCAAGCCCAATCTAGTTAATAAAGACATACCCCTAAAATGTCAGGGATCACGACCAGCTTCAACAAACGTTACGCTATGAGATCTAAGCACTTTATTACAATATTCACCACAATTCGTTAGTCACCGATGATGCTATCAGAGGCTTACAGCAACGACGGCTTTCGCTTGTCAGCCCCGGGCGGACGCAATGCACTTCGCCACTAATAATCTCTACGGCGTGCAAGTGGTATTAAGCTGGACAGTGTCGGTGTTTCGTTCCCAGGTTGACTACCAATCTACAGCTCGCTCTCAGTTATTTATTCAACCTGTCCTCTAGTCACGCTTCACACCCAGTCTCCCAACGCTCCTCAGCCCCCATAGGCTCACGGCTACAGAAACAAAACTCAGCCCGCAATTGTACCACCACCCAGCATGGTACCCTCGAAGAAGTACTTCTCTTGTATCGACGCCTTTTGCAAGTAAGGATACTTGTTGCGCTATGATTGCGGTCGTAGCGATGCCGACGCTCTTTCCGATCTGAGCAACCATATTGAATACACCACCCGCTAACGCTTGCGTCTTTAACGGAAATGCGTCTGTGACTACTAACATAGCAATAGTGTACATCAAGTCCGCTCCGATTGGATTGATGGCCATTGCTTGGAAGATGGCCTCCCAATAGCTGGGTCCCTGAACTTTGCATAATGCTGCTAGTAAAAGCGGCGCAAGTCCACTAACGAGACAACCGACGGGTACGGCATATGACGCCTTCAGACGCGGCAAGAAGATAGCAACAGCAATATTCGTGAGAATGCCGCATACTGGCGCAGGAAGGAAGTATAGGGAGGACGTCAACGTAGAGAATCCGCGGACGTCCTGTAAATATAATGCTGTGAGCTGCTCGCTAGCGTTGAGAGCCCCCCAAACAAGGAAGACTGTGATACAGACTGATGTGAACGGCTTGCTTTGCCATAGTTCATTGGGAATTAGAGCTGGTCGACCCTGTAGCTTTTGATGGTGCATCCAAAATACGTGTACAGGCAGGAGGACCACACCGACGCTAAGGAATACAATATTGAGCGGTTGTCGCATGCGATAGCTGGCGTCAGAGTCCGTGACAACGGCTAGGACATACGACAAGAATGCTAAGCTCGTACTGATGATCAATGCTCCCAGCCAATCTAGCTCGGTTCGGAGGCGGAAAGCAGTGTCCCTGCCTAAGGGTGCAGCATCGTCAACGCTTACTGGCAGCGACCAAATGGCGATGACCAGCACAAGCACATTGAGAATCGCTGTAGCATGGAAGCCCCATCGCCAGCCAACTGTGTCGCTGAAAAGACCGCCTAGGACAAGACCTAATCCGAACCCGACAGCTTGGCCACCACCCATAGCGGAAAAAGCAGCAGTCCGCGCGCGCGGCCTGGAATTAGTTGGAAAAGTTGACGACACAATGCCCGTGGCGCTGGGTAGGCACATTGACGCTGCGACACCCGCGAAAGCACGAAGAGCGATAAGCTGAGTTGGAGTTCTCGAAAGAGCGGCGCCCAATGCGCTGCCGGCTTGAAGCATAGCGCCTAGTAGACAGACGCGCCGGCAGCCGAGTAAATCCGCAGCCGTGGCGCAGAGAAGCAACGTACACCCGCAGGCTAGAGCAAAAGCCGAAGCTGGCCATAACTGAACTCCAGGTTCTATGCCCAAGTCTATCGCAATCACTGGTATACAAACCGTCAACAAGCCGGCCAAAAGGTTGCTGATTCCGGTGATACATGTGATGGAGAAGATGATGGCAACCGATCGACTTCTGGATGGGATCGAGATAGCAGAGTCCGCGGTTGCTGGTGTCTGTTCCGAACTGGCGTGAGGAAGATAGGAAGTGACGTGATCGAGTTCCATCATGGAGTGCTCAGTAACAGAGCGAGCAGAATACGCATTCGATGGTGGCCGCGATGCGATGCTTTGTAGCCGGTTTGTAATTGCTTGCTGGTATGACAAGATAAAAAGATGTTGGCAAATCGCGGAATGAGAAATGGTTGAGAATTCGATCTTTCGCATGCAGCTGTTGTATTAGGAATCGGGTGTGTAGATAGGCGCCACCAGATTAGTCAGCGGCAGCTCATTCATGATAAAATTCCGTCTTTTGACACTCTCATCTTCGGGAATGCTTTTCCGTTGTGTGGATCAATACGTGTTCCGACCTCGGCAGCCTCTCTATGCAACTGATCCTGATCGCTGATGTACTGTACTAGAGACAACGATTTGAAACATATTAGGCTTAGCCTGAGGCCCTTTTTCTCCCAAAGGGGAATTTCTGCGAGCGACAGTGTGATACCGAATCAAATTCGCCGAACCTCACTCTCTTCTGCTTGACTTATCCACACGTTGCCACACCTTCTTTTACCATGTATATTCGAGCAGCACATGCTGAGAAGAGTCTCATCGCTCTTCGACATATCGTTCGTCAGAATCCGCTCGGCCAGTTCACTACCGCCATGGTTTCACCGAGCTATGATTTTGTCACGAGTTATGGCACGTAGCAATGGGCATACGGAGTGTGGTAAAGTGGCTTAGCCTATCAAAGTGGAAATAGACAAAAGAAAAAGGTCTATATACACGATGTTTGAGATATACACGTGATACAGCACGTGACGGGCATCTTGTGAGGTGCGGTTACTATCCCTGTTACGTGACAAATTTCTTACAGTCCAGCCACAATCCGTTTGTGCTGGATGCCCAGGATGAGTCGAGCGACTTCGAGTTGGGACGGCTGCGAGGTCATTTAGCTCGTGCAAACCCTCAGAGCAAAGACATCGTCGAAGAGCTGTCCCGTGGCGAATCTGGAACTGCTGTGATAACCCTGCAGCGTAACGTACTCGTCGTCTTCACTTCACCGGTACAACACTACGTCACGCCGAGATTCTACACGGAGAAGAAGCCCGTAAATGGGAAGGTTGTTCCAACGTGGAATTACTCTGCAGTCCAGGTGTACGGCAAAGCGACCGTGTATATCAATTCCAAGTCTTAATCTGTGGCCTCCTTTCTCAGCCAGCAAATCCACGATCTCTCGGAGTTTAACGAGCAAAAAAGGATGGGATTCGATGAGCAAAGATCGAATTCCAGGCCGTGGAGGGTATCGGATGCTCCTGTCAAGTACATCGATCTGTTGAAAAGGCAATTATTGGGGTTGAGATCGAAGTTATCAAGATGGAGGGAAAAGTCAAGATGAGCCAGAAAATGAGCGAGGGTGATCGAAAAGGGGTCATGCAGGGCTTCAGTAGTCTCGGTACTGAGATTGGGTGCGTCATGGCGGACACAGTGAACAACCAACATTCAGTTAGAAGTTAGGAACAATTCGCTTCATCTTATCCGTACTGTGCTCCGCACGCGTCAGAAAGTTCCCTGTGAGGCATAATGTACGTTGATGCAGAGGACACAGGCTCAACCTCATCCCTGTGGAGATGGAAGGAAATGTCGAGTGGAATAGGGTCGGCTGATTGCTCAAATGAGTGGACACCATGAGAATATAGATACCGGGGACGGGGAGAATCGTAGCTATCTGGTGCTCGTTAGCCTCTCGGAAAATCATTTCCGGCCGGTGAAGGGCGGATTTCGCTACCGATACGACTAGCTGACACCTACATCCTCCTAAACTAGGCAAACCCAACCAAGCAATGCTCTGGTTGGCGAACAGGCCAGATTCTATACATTGGAACATTTCCTGACATCTCAACAGATGGCTAGTTGCTCCCGCAATCAACTAACAGTTTCTGCAATGACAAGTACAAACTCCAGAATTTCCTCAGAATGCTGCTCGACGGATACTGATATCATAACATAGTCCCGACCCTCCCAACCAATCTCCCGCCACCGGTTAACGATGGCGCCTGCGATCACCTGCTCAATCTGAAGATTCCAAGTGTCAGCTTGCCGGTTGCCGGCAACATTTCGACGACCGTTGATCTTTCGAGCCGAGATCGATTGACAATTGTTTTTTGCTATCCACGCACGGCTGCCGCCAACGAAACAATCCCTCCCGAATGGGACGCGATTCCAGGGGCAAGAGGGTGCACGCCTCAGGCGTGCTCCTTTCGCGATAACTCTAAAGCGCTTTACGATGCTGGAATCGATGGACTTTTTGGTCTGTCTACTCAGTCCACTGAGGTTCAGGAGGAGTTTCGCCAGAGAAGTCATATACCCTACGACATTCTCTCTGACGCTGAACTTGAATTTGCACGTGCACTGAGCTTGCCTCTGTTCGAGTACGAAGGGAAACAGTTGGTCAAACGTCTGACATTGGCCATATACAAAGGGCGAATTGTGAAATATTGGTATCCTGTATTTCCACCGCACAAGAACGTGTACGAAGTTCTTGAATGGGCCAAGACCTTCAAACCTGCTATGGAATGAAACTGTACTTAGCAAGATGTATTCTCGACAAAGTCTCGAATCCATCTCTATCCGTTACGCAACATCATCGCTTTGTTATTCGAACGTGAACATCGACGACTTGTCGCTTGAATTGGCGACGGCAATGCAACTTCACGGCACGTATTCATTTCCCGGCCTGAGACTCAGCAGGGTTCTTGGGTAGCACGATAGAGCGATTAAATGAGAAAGTGCATTCTAACCATTCCCGTGGGGTGCCCTCAATCGCTCCATCTACAAATAGAAACTTCTTGCAACAAGCATGACGCATCCAGCTGAAGACTTGACAACACCGCTGTTGGATTGATGAATGCATCTGAATAAAGGGATGCTAGACTTGCATGTGACATGCAAAAGCCGGTGTTGACTGGTAGATAAAAGATAGAACCCCGTTCGAACTGGGACGGCAGAAATTCTCAATCTCGCACGAACTCGCGCTGCAATGAGCCCCCCCTCATATGTTCCGGTTAGATAATCGACACTATAGCTTCTCTGTTCCCAAGGAGTTACACCCTTTTGATAATGATTTTTGTGAATAAGGAAGGGCCCTAAAGCCGTCAGGTAGGGCGTGGGCCGTCTCTTATTCCAGTTGTGCCTGAAAGTTCTTGGGCTATTCGGTCGTAGCAGGCCGCGCTACGACCATCAAGCCCCCATAATGTTGTGGAAGTTTATGATACAATTCTAGCGTAAGGGTCTCATTAAGAGACGGAGTTCTCGAGGCGCAGACTATGCAGAGGTGGACGTATTCCAAGTTTAATCCGGCCAACAGCTTCGGACCATCGGCGTCGCCAACCAGGCCGTGCCGATGACCCAGCGGGAAGCTGGATTGCGGTTTGACTTAACAGTATCAATGTAATTGTATTCAAATACTTGCTGAAGCTGGACTTTTGGAAATGCGTCAGATTGTCATTCAGATCTACATAATCAACATCAACGAGTCATGATGTGCGTAACTCCATCAGCCCTTGTACCTTGCATCGTTGCAACGGTTCTATTATACACGGTTGGCATAGCCATACACAGTTATTTAATATCACCCCTACGCAAAGTGCCGGAACCAGCTTTAACTAGATTTACGAACTGGCTGGAAGTGTACTACAGCTATCGGGGCAATTACGAAGACCGCTTGCTGGCATTGCATCGCAAGTATGGTAAGCGCATTACATATCCCATCAGCATGGACCATGATTTAACACTGTCGGCAGGATCTGTCGTGAGACTAGCCCCGAATCTGTTTAGCTTCAACGGGCCAGAAGACATGCGGAAAATATACAGATTCGGTGGCAAGTGGAATAAGCCAAATTGGTATGATGCTTTTGCATCGGACACGACCCACCCAACGCTCATCTGCGTAAAGAATGAGGCCGAGCATGCTTTGCGTAAGCGCCAAATCAGCTCTTTGTATTCCATGTCAACTTTAGTCCATTACGAGCCCGGCGTGGATCGAGTAGTAGACGTGTGCCTCGATAGGCTACGAGCTTTGATCGACACATCCCGAAACAAGCTTGGTGTACCATTCGACTTGCCCGAATTCTTACAATGTTATGCTTTTGATGTCGTTTCAGGAATTACTGTGAGTTAATATCGAAGATTTCAAGTCCCAAGCAACTATCATGATTTGTCCACCACCCATCTCAAGCCCATACTTGCATCAATTGCTTCAGCCATTATCTGTTTATGAAGTAAGCATTTTCTGACTCGAGTTATATCTTGCCTTTAGTTTGATGAAAGTATGGATTTGATGACCAGGGGCCCGACTGCCGATGGGATTCTGGCGGCTATTCGAAGTATCATTCACGTGTCGTCCGTCATGGCCCCGGTCTCTCGCCTATTTACATGTGCGCAGCGCGCAATTAACTTCATTGGCAATTTCGTCCCGTATGTAAACACTCCTTTGCGAAAACTCTTGACGATGATTGCAGTCAAAGCAGAACATTACCAAACGACTCAGGGCATCACAAGGGTGGTAAGTGGCAAGGGTGAACCATTCGTTGCCAAGGCAGTTGGGTTAGTTGTCGAGGGCAAACTCGATACTGGATCTATCATCGACACTTGCGGTTCGAATTACGTCGCAGGGTCCGACACTACGGGCATTGCGCTGTCGGCAACCATCTGGCACATATATCACCACCCTGACAAGTTGGCCAAACTTCGCTCTGAGATCGATGCTTTGGGTCCTGGACGAATTACTTTCAGTCAGGCACAAGCATTGCCATACTTGAACGCCGTAATCAGTGAGGCATTACGGTTGCACCCTTCCATAGTTACAATCTCCCCCCGAGAGGTGCCGGAAGAAGGGGAGTATTTGGCAGGCCACTACTTTCCACACAAGGTTTGTTTCTTACGAACTGAAGTGAGACACGATGACCGCGCTAACATTGTGCAGACGCAAGTTGGAGTTAGTGCTTGGTCGATCCACAGAAACCCAGAAGTGAGCGGTCCCGACGCCGATGCTTTCCAGCCTGAGCGATGGCTCGACAAGACAATGAGTGCTGAAAAAAAAGCAGCGATGTCATTCGCAGTAACTGGCTCTCGTTTGCGTCTTACTGTTGGCAGTGTGGTGGGCATAGACTAACTTGCTGCTACTAGTTTTCGGGCGGTACACGTTCTTGCCTTGGGAAGAATATTGCACTTCTTGAAATCATGAAGGTTATCCCTGAAATTGTGCGATATATTGACTTCGTATTCGCCGAAAGCGCCTACACGAACTCAACTTGCGGATTTGTCTGGCCACGTTATCATGTTTGGATCAGGGACAGACCGAAACCGCAGGATGTGATTTGATGAGGCATTAATTTGATCGACGCAGTAAAACTTTACGTCCAAGCGCGCATATCACTGCCATGTGCCGTAAAAGCTGGGTTGACGCGTTGTTGCATGGAATATCATCACACGAACAATCATCGTCTTTTCCTAGCTGTCACATCTCTTGCTAGTGTTTCTTCCGCCGTCCACAATTGATGCGTGTCGAGTTAGGGTCCGGGTCAAACCGTGGGCGGGTGTGAACTTACGGTCCCTTAGGGGTCAGGCATGTAATATACAATCAGTGTGACAGAAAGAGTGACTGATGAAGCCACTAGGTTACGGGGCAACCAAGTGCAGCGCCAGAATAAAATCTCAGCAACAAAAAACTGGTTGTACTTTGTCGCCATAATGTGTTACCAAGCGCCTACAGGACCTGACTATAATAGAGAGCCGTTTGTGCCTGGTAAGTTTGATTGCTCGAGTGGAGCTATCCCATCAGTGCGGATGGACTCCTGTTCACCAAGACCGCAGTCACCCATTACTAGTCCAAAAACACCCATACAAAAGCATCTCATTGGGCAAATGTTCCTGATTCTTCCAGGTAATGAATCTCATTGGGTTCACCCCACCCTTGGCGAAAATAGGCTCCATCTGCACTCAATGGGATACAGTCTCAAATTGTTGTCAGATCTCGTTCTAAATGCGATAACGATCGAATCAAGCCACTCACCTTCATTAAGTTGAAAGTAGCGTTGGGAGCGGCCGAGAATGAATGTGACGATATAAGAACCCACGTCATCGTATCCACCGTTGTTACGTGGGCAATGCAAACACTGCCACTTTTGGTCCTCTGACGCTATGTCGGTAGATTGGGTTCACTCAATGAAAGAGGGCTACGATAACGTACTGCATAGATTGAGAGTCATGTTCTTTATTCGTAGCAGAAAGGATATTACCATCTCCAGCCTATGCACTGAAATGACATTGTTGTTATCCGTATCACAGGGTACTCAATTCGAACCGTGGTTTGACGAAGAGGTCAATTGAACTGTAATAGTCAATTTCTGCATCAGGTGGAAAAGGGAGTCAAAGACTTCTGCCTCAAGAAGATCAGAATTGACAATGGCCGTTCAGATGAGCCAACGAGCAATGCCCATCTGATGACATGGTCAGCAAATATGCTCTTGCACATGGTGAAGGAGTCCACAAGATTTTCCAAACCAATTACGCGAACCTTGACCCCAAAAAAGCAACAGAGTCCATTCTTGCATGGTCGTTCGTTGTTCTTTGTACACTCACATTCAAGTCATAAGGTTTGTAACGATGTCAAGACCCAGGTATGCAATCGCGTATACGGCGGCGACAGTTCTTCTTGCCAAGCGCCACGAGCAGTTGGCCTCAGGCGTCTTCACCGCCAGGCAGCGGCCGCCAGTCGACTCGATGCGGAACCAGGCGATCCGGTGGCAGCAAGCATCTGCCAAGGTGTTACACTCTCCTGAGAACGAGTTGCAGCCATGGAAATCTAAATTGCCCGTTCTCGCAATACCTCGCAGGCGACTGTTAATGAAACCGCGACAGAGGCTCTGCAGCGATACATATAGGCCACGACCAAAACAGCGGCCCAGTCTCCGAACATGGTCTGAGGTAATGATGGAGCATGTGATGGATGATGTGCTCGGCTTAACATTTCTTCCACGAAGATTTCAGATTTAACACGTGAATTATGACGATCACAACTCGCACGACGGACATGCGAGGCACAGCATTATGATTGCTATCATTCTATTGACACCCTCAATTGGCGGTATTGAAAGCGTGTTTACTATTCTTCCGGATCATTGGTCCATACTTGTAAAGCAGATAAGGGACCAAGGCCATGACTGCACTGACAGTGCCCAGGATCGAGAGTGTGTATTGAACGCCTAGAGTCTTGTAGACAGGGGCCCTAGCCATAGTAACACCACCAGCAACGGCGTAGCGTGTAAATACGAGAAATCCCAGCGCTGAAGCCGAGTAGGCATCATAACAGTTGATCAAGTACATGTACGATACGATAAAGATAGTCGTAATGCCGAAGACAAAGAGCGCTGAGACAACCAAAGGAGACCAGATGGAAATCTCAGTCTAGATGTTTCATTTAACAACGTAAATCAAGCTGACCATGAAAATTTGGGGTAGACTCACATTGCTAGTCCACCCGATCCAGAAAAAGCTGATTGGGACAGCGGGTGCGCCCCCAAGCATGGTGTACCAAAGTCGCATTTCAGGAACGATGACACTGGGGTATTGTGACTTGCACGGTTTCGTGGTTCGACCGTAGACATGTGGTACCAGGTGACTGACAAAAGAAATACCTATGAGCATGCTAGCCCAGCACAAAGAGGTCATGCCGGCGGATAAGCCGTAGGTTTCGCCAAAAATGTAGGAAGAACCATCGAGAAAGGTAAAAAGGACAATGTAGACAATTGAAAGGTAAAGCGAGACCAAAACGATGATGAGTTCTGAGTAGAACATGGCAAATGGTCGATAGATGGATAATTTGAGACAGACACCGAGACGTTCTTGCCTGACCTCGGTTGGTGCTTTGTATCGTGCATCGCCAGTCTCATGCCGGAGAATGGAAGCTTTCCAGCAGAGTATCAGCCCAGCATACGTCTCTGGCTGGAACGCGACAATGACGACCAGAACGATAGCTGCCATGATAAGCATGATCCATTCAAGCCATCGCCATCCCAACGTCGCCGGTACGAAACTCCCAATGAGCTGCCCGACCATTGGCTCTGCGAAAGCGTGGATGGCGTACACTGGGAATGCGTATATCTTTTCCAGCAACGGAGATTAGGGAGACGAGCATTGTCATGTAGAGTCTGCGTATCATGCTGTAGTTCTGAGGATTCATAGGATCATCTGCCATATCCCAACCTAGAAGGATGATATCGTCCGCCCGAACTCGGTTATTTGAGAAATGTGAATCTTGGGAGTTGTATCCGAGATTCAACACACAGCTATTGTCCTAGTGTCAGATACGGTGCTAAGCAAATTTATTATCTTTTGGAGTTTTTAATCTATTTTTTTCTTCTAACTTTCGGCGAAATTGATACAAGGAGAATGGAACTAACTGCAGGCTTGGAGAGAACAAAATATTCTGTAACCATGCTGAACTGAACCTTTTCCTCCAAAGAATTGCGGCCTTGATTGGACCCACAGATCTTGAACACACTCTTGTAGTTTTCAGTCTCTCCCGTCTCAACCAACTGTTTTGATTAAATTGGCGTGCTTGATCTACTTCTCTCAAACGCAGAATCTGAATCATTGCAGTGACAGCTCAGTACACAATCTGTCCCAAAGTTGCTCAACACATCGTCCCACTCCTGAATAGTCTGATACACATGCCTCAGCAGCTTTCGCAGGTAAAGACCGTGATGGCCTCTCGCAGTGGAATGGTGAAAGGAGCAGCCAGCCACGTAATCAAAGCCCCCACGACACGTAAACAAGATCAAATATCCGTGAGCCATCTCATGGATCAGGAGCTCAACGATTCGCGCAATCGTCCACATTCCTGCAGAGTCAATGTCAATGTCAACGCTGGGGAGCGAGCCAGCATGCTCCTTGACCACCTCCACGTGCGAAGCGCTGCCTTGTTCCTGGCAGACCTCGTTGTTCTCCCGAATACACACTTTGAGATGCGACTGCACGATGCCCGTTCGTCGTCGACGCGCCGCAAGCCATCCTCTGAAAAAGTAATGGTCGAGCAGAGACGCCACCCTGATAATGTGAGCATAGTGACTTGGGTCTCGATTGTTATAGAGTTCATGGAATCCTTCGATTAGTGCATGCTTTAGTTCATCGTGATGTTCTAGGTTGGTGTAGGAGCCCAGGGCTTGCCCGTTTTCGATCGTGTTGGCGACTAGATCTGGAAGGCGATATGTGCCGTACTGACCTGGTAGCTCAGGTCCAAGTCCATGCCAGTGGATAATGCAGGAACATAGTTCAGAAGGATTCGGAGGGCGCGGTCGTTGGGCCTCCATGTTTGAGGCAATGTCTCGACAGTTTTGTACTCTAGTCTCTGGCGGCGTCGAAGTAGACCACTCACAAGCCGGGCAGAGACCACAGCCGACGTAATATAAGCTCGGTGGGCTTGAAGCCTAATCATATTGAGTTGCGAACGCTGTCTATGTACAGTCCTTAATTGGTATCTATGCCTAGAGACTAGAAACAAAGTGCCTCTTTGTCCAGGGCTTGAGGTATATGCCGTATCAAACTATATGTACTCAACAGATAAAGAACGAACAATACGCTTCAGTCATCTACGTTCTTGCTCACATTTGACGACTCAGTGTCTATGTATTTGTTCTTTCTCTTTGACTTTTCGAGTTGAGCCTCCCATGCCCCAGATACCTCGTAATTGGACCATCGCATTCGAGTTACTTGACACTTTACTAGATCACACCGGCAAATAGAAGCAGACACTCCTGTAAATAAATGCTGTTCATGCTCTCAAACGTTTCTAGAAAATAGAAATCTCCATTTCCACACCCCACCACGACCTCTCAATGTTTCTGCTTCATTCTTGCCACTTCCTCCTGTGACCCAACGCCTACAAGCGCAGTGCCCTCAACCGCCATTTGAGTATACCCATATCTTAACCTTCGATTTTTCAACATCCTAGCGAGATCAATGCCGTCCATTCTTCCAGCTTTAGGAGAGATATCCATATATTTGGAATCCCGTACGACAGTCGACGCATATCCCAGAATCTCCGGCCCGTGGACAAAATGCGTGACAACAGCACTTGTTAAACCTCCTAGGAGAAGCATAACACAAGACAGAATATACAGGCCCATCCATAGACCAGGAACGTGGAAGACTTCCACCAAAGTCTCGACGTCGACGCCAACAGTGAAATTGGGCTCAAATGTGGCATTGACGTCTACGCTTCCACTGGGGGCGTTTGAGAAAGCTTGGCTGAGGAAAACGTACGAGTTGACAAGTTGCGCAAGCCGGTACCCAAAGTCCTCTGGATTGATGCTCGCCAGCTCCGGCGGCGTATTTGCACCAGTCATGGTGATCGAGGATGGGTTCTCGAGGTAGTTCAAGGAGATATCCGACGTGTAGCTTGAGCCAAAGTGGTTTGTTGCTTGAGGCAGCTTCCGCGAGACGTAGCGGAAGACTCGTGTAAAGGACAATTGGGAGATATTCTCATCGGCGTGGGTCTTTTGAGAAGGGCGCTGCGCCGCGACACTACAACTCTGTCGAGCGGTGGAAGGAGAAGAGTCTCGCGAGCAACGCACTCTTGACTCGACATATTTCTGTGTGACGCCGCAGCGAGACGTCGTGTAATCTGGTGGTCCGCGGGAACTAGTCTGCTCCCTCGCTTGGAAGAGTAAAGTCGTCCGGTTAGCCACCACTCCCTTCTCATTCGTAAATACGTTGGGGCGGTTGGCATCCTCGACCCTGAGCCCGCGCTTGCTGTACCAGTCGTAGTCATTCCACTGCGCATCTACAAAGTTGTCAAGCGCGAGGTTCCATCCTGACATGCCGTCTGAGGAGGTTGTCTGGTTGAGGTTCCAACCCTGCCAGGTCCCGTTGGCGACGGTTCTGCAGCGGTCGGACATACAGAGCGAAGTTTCGTTGAATATGACGGCTGTGGCGAACGAAGGGCCGGATTGGGTATCGTACGAGAACGCTGAAACGCTGATATTGTCACATGCGAAGTGCATGTAGCTCGATTCCAGCAAGATGGTTGTGTTTCCGTCAGCGACATGCGTGATGGGAACGCCGACGAGAGATGAAAACTCTAGCTTCTCTTTATCTGCTGGGACGTCTTGCCATTCTGTTGTCTCAAAATTACCGTACGACGATAGCGCCGGAATCTTGACGTTTCCCCAGACATCCATGGAATCGCTCTTTACGGCATCGGGACTGAGAATCAGAGCATTGTACATGGCATTGACAATGGACATCCGATTGATGTTATACGCGTAGCTCGTCGGCGAAGCATCTGACCAGGATGCAAACTGGGACCGGGCATCAGTGTCGAAATAGACGACACTTGAAGGAGTAACCACGCTTCGAGGTCGGGTTTCGAGCATGCGCAAGACGGATTGGCCGCCCAGAGGCGAGAAGATCCATATCAGAATGAGTGATAGCGTCAGGAGGTTGACGGCCCGAAGCTGGATATGAATCAATAGCGTGCCACCGACAGTCCGGCTTCCCATCAATTGCTCCAACGCTTCCATGGTGGCGCCCCTTTCGAGTTTCCAACGGGCGATTTGGGACATGAGACGGCCTATGATAGCCGCGAATATTATGGGGAAGAGGGTAGCAAGCTAGAAGAGTCCATGTCAGCATTGAACTGTGAAACAGGATACTCGTAAGATAAAGAATACGTACAATGGTGAATGCATTGCGATATTGTCCAGCAGAGGCCTCGTCTGTCTCCTGCCCATTGATGCTCAACACCAAGAAGGCAAAGATAAGAAACCCAACCGGGAGTACGACCGCACAGATATCAGCCAGGATCACGAACGGCGTCCAGCTGACCTTCTGGAAATCATGTGCGGCATCACTGCCCTTGCCGCTGTCGCTACGGGCCGTCGCCGAGTTGCCGTCATCCGGGTTCTGCAATGGCTCGTAGATCGAGTTGCCGCGACTCGTCGTTTCTCGAACAATGGGTTCTTTGAGCGTCTTCCTTGTCTTGTCTGTGCCTTCCAGAGCCGGATTTGCAATCAAAGGACGTTGTTCACGCGGTGCGTCTGGTGATTCCATCTTGACCAACCGAAAACCAACTCTTGCATTTGTAAAAGAGGCATTTGCACAGCAAAATGAGGTGCCAAAGGTCGCAAATACATGAATTCTGTAGAATGTGCTGTTTTCTTTTTGGGACTCCACTGAACAGGCAACAGAATAAAAATATTGGTGAGAACCTTGGAGGTGTAAGACGGAGGAGATCATGCATGAGACATTGCGCTAGCATCAAAAACCCCTGGCTAAAATTGCCAAAGACGGATGTCTTGGCGGTCGGCTGAAAATTGACCACCCTGTCCGTGGTTCCATTGGCTAAGTGAGCTATGCTTAAATTGGCGACTTGCAACGGGATATGCTGGCGGCTGATTATAAAGATGCAGGTTGAGAAAGACGACAAGTTCTGAGGCGGTGTAATGGCCTAATGCGGGTTGGTAGGAAGATGACGAACGAGTGACTGCTTCTTAGATCTACGACTTGTTCAGATGGGCTTTGTCAAAAGACTCAGAGACGAATGGGAAAGAAGCCATGAGTCAACCACCTCTACAGGCTCCTTCGGATCGCCCAAAAGCAAGATACTTCGTTTGCGATGGGCTGGTACCTGAGGCCTCCCGCTCATCCCAATTCGCCAAGGCACTCGCACGCATACATCAATCCATTAATTTGCAAAGTGTGGAAATTCAGTAAGCGCTTAGTTCCTGTGGATTTCGGGATGGCTGCTAAGTCTTTTGAGCGATAGGATGCAATGGTTATCGACTAAGTAGTAACTAGAAGTAGCAATTACAAGTCAAGCGGCTAGACTGGTTTCCATACCCGGTAATATTACGAAACTCAAGCTTGTCAAGTAAGTTATATCTCACTCAGATCGTCGCTTATGACAACCAAGTAGTTACAGGGTTGAGATGATTCTTGAGAAGAAGTAAGAATTGAGTAAATGGAAGATAAAGCCTGAGACAGTGTCCATTCAGATGGTGTGTTGAATAAAGACCAGTTGCTGAGTCTGATGTCGATGTTTGATATGATCTTGTAATTCTTGTCTGTGAGTGAGGTAGATTGTCAATTCCCTTCATTACGATCTCGTAGAAAAGACACCAAAGTTACAAGCAAGACGTCCGACTATCAAAGGTGATGTAGTAAGTGACGCAAAGACACTCTATGCTAGCGAACAAGATCAATAGCGATTGCTCGCTCTACCATTTCCAGTACTCAACGCCAAAAGCAAAAGGCTTGTTCACACCTCACCAATTACATAGGCTTCGCAGCGAGCCACCAAACACGCTGCCCCTTGCTCCTCGACGAGATCCTATCCCCCCTCTTCCACAACTCCAGCCCAAAGTCCTCATACGGATGAATAGACTCATCAGTTAACCCAAAGTCCCGTAACTCCGGCGCCCAACTCTGAATCTGCCCCAACACAGCCTTGAGTACTGCAACAAACGCAAGCCCATGGCCCCCGCCATCAGAGTCACGGTGCATAATATCAAAATCCACATCGCACTTATCTCTCCGACACGAAAGCAACAAGAGGTATGCGTGCACCATTTCGTGAACAGCAACCTGCACAATCTCCCTGAGTGGTAGCGGCTTGCCGGTACCGGTGGTAGTGGTGGTGGTGGTGGTGCCGTCATCGCGGTGACGGACCGTGCTCAGGCGGATGACGATGCTGGGGGCCCCGGGCCTACTAGCCCGCAGCGGCTGCGTCCAACCCACCCTACCCCGCGTTTGTCCGACTTCTAGAAGGACGGGGTGCGATATGTGGTTGATCTGGGGTGTCGGGAAGAGCAAGCCTAGGAAGCAGAGATCGTCGATTGCTTTCATGATGGAGAAGACGGTGCTTGCCGAAGTGACTTTGGGACTTGTTTCGGTGCCCTTGTCGACTAATACGCGGGCGACGGTGTTCTTTAGTGACTTCTCGGAGGCGGACCATGGGATCGGCCCTAACATAGATTCGGATAGAGTAATTGCAACGTCGTTGATGTTGTAAGACCGTGGTTGCGGTAAGTGATCATCCTTGTGCGATTTCCGCGAGTGATGTTGGCACTGTTGTGGTAGAAACCTGGCCCGCTTCGATTCCGCCATGTCGAGTTGTAGCATAGTTGGCGGGTGGACAATCTTCCTTTCCTCCTTGTCGGTTCAAAGAAATATTTCTCAGCGGGCTGTCATGTCGCTGCCATGTTCGTTTTGTAAACACTTACTCGCCATCCCGTCCCGACGGCGCTTGGGTGCGTCTGTTTGGTACAACGGTCAACCGTCGCGGCCCAAGCACGCATCCCCTCACCTCAGAGCGTTTACCAAGAGAGGCGCATGGTTTCAAACCGGGGGCTCGGTCAGCCAGTTTTCTCACCGTCGGCGATGTCGCAGAGTGAGAAGGGAGTTTAGACTGCCTCATAGCGGTGTTCGAAGCCGTGCTGGCGTGGGCAACAGTCAGCGCGACTGGTCGGCAGCGAACGAGTGATAGTGTGACAGCTTGGTAAAGTTGCCATGCTAGGCAAGGCTTTGAAATAACAGATCTAGATGAAGAGGGTTATAGAAGGATGGATTACAATGGGTTATGATAGTCCTTCCGCCGACCCATGATAATGCACCTGTAGGAACCTGACGTGGGTAGAAACACCCCCCAAGATTGTATAGTAAAACACCGTCGCCATGCTTAATATGATTCGCCGCCTAATGAGACCATCTCGCCATAAGATCCAGACAAAGAGAATAACGTGCTATACACATGTGGGAGACGCATTTCGGCATCCCCTAACGTATGACGGGATGGCCTGCTGTGGAGCGTTGTCGTAACCCAAGACGACAATCCCCCCTCGGTCATCAATACGGGCCCATTGCCCGTCGTATGAGTCATAAAAGTTTCGTTCGTGGGCAGATGACTGCCTGCTGGAAACATAGTTGCCAGGGAAGAAGAGCCGGCCACGTGTCTCGCGGATCTCACCTTCTTCAAGCGGCTCCACTTCGTCGTAGTCTTCCTCAGTCGTCGTTATGGTCGTAGATGTGGGACTGCTCTCCCTGCTGACTGGAAAGTACTCGCGATGGTCATTGATGTGATACTCCCATCGTTCCTGAGATCTGTATCGAGACCTCTCGTAAGTCTGGTTGTCGTGGTATGTGTGGTGACGGGGGTTGAGGTGCTCTTGAAAGGCGGGGAAGTTGTGTCTGCAGGGTCTGCCCATAGGGTGCACATCGCCTTCAGGAACATGGTCTTCGTCCTCACGGAAGTGGTCCAGATCCGCCTCCATGTTCCGTAGGTGCAAGTTGTCCGGCCCAGCCCAGAGATCAATGAGCTCCGCAATCCGTCGAAAGCCAGCGGTATGACCGCCACATTGACGAGCCTTAACGCCGCATTTGATAAAAAGGTAGCTATGAATGAGCTCATGTAAGAAGGTAGAGATGAGAAGTCGTCGGTTGTACTGCTTGTCCTTCAAGATTGGGTTCGATAAGACAATAAGAGTCTCGAAGCCTCCCATTTTAGAGCGTCGAAGGGCTGTAGTGCCGATGATGTGGTCCTTGTACTGGGCGCTAGATGCATGGGACCAATCCCAAGTGACGCGCTGTGATAGACTGTTGTGAAAGAAGATCTCGTTTGCGGCGGAGAAAATGCTTTCCAGCGCATCATTATCGATGGAGAACTCGGCATGCCGAGATCGTGGTCGGATGAGTGATCTCAGGATTCGTTCATGCTGAGAATCCTTGGTACGACGTCGGCCAAGCTGCAACCGATTTTCGACAAGTCTAGCCGCAACATCGTCGTCGAGTAGCCTTAGATCGTCCTCGCTGGCGGCGCTGTAAATGTCTGTATCGGACGAGATGGACAAGCCAGAGGCGGTGCGCTCCATTTGCGATGAGGTGACATCGGCTTCAGCCGGCTCGGGCGTTGGCGATGTTTGTTCTCGGATTACTAAAAAGGACAGGTTCTGAACGGGAATCGATCCCCGCGGTGGACAAACAGGATCCAAGTCGGACGTGAAATGTGATACACGGGCCCTTTTCTGGAAGGGCATGTCGTCGTGTGCGTACTCAGAGTTGCCGTCGTAGATGTCGCGCTCATCAGCGTGACCAATCCTCCTTTTGCCACCCACAACGTAGAGATCGGAATTGAGGACGTGGCCATCACCTTGGGAAAGTGGCCTTGCCTCCCCGCCGACCACCCAAAACGCCATTGAACATTCTTGAGATATTGCAAAATGGAAGGAAAGGGCGAAAATGGTGGGAAAGGGCAAACCTCGGGAGGTCGGAGGTGTGATGAAGTGTGGCAGGCCGGGGGGGGCTCAAGGTGAAATACGGGCGACCACTGTTGGTATGGGTGTCATGTGCGCCGGAACCGCATTAAAGAGGCCGGTGGAGAAGGATGCCCGGCGCCGGCGGCTGGAAGTTGCGTACGGCAACTAACGAGGAATGGATAGCTCGGGAGGACCATGTAAAAGAAACGAAACAAAGGTTCAGTTTCGAGGCACGACGAAGTGAGGCGAGGGACTGGCACAGCAGGACGATTTCTGAGAGCCAGTCTGTTCTGCTGGACAGACATAGCTGCATGGAGAGACCCAGCTCAGGGCAGGACAGCGTTGCATGGCCCGTCTAGGCCCCCCTTGGCTTGCTCATCTGCAGAATCCCAACCAGCGGGACGAGGGCGACTCGAAGCAACCGAGAGGTTTGGGTGGACGGGAGCCGGGCAGCGGACACCGTCGTACGAGCGGTGTGAGGGAGCTAAGACGGATATGCGTGTGCGGCGTTGCGCATCGCAGATTTAGTGCGAGGTCCATCGCTGCCATCCCCCGACCGGTGCAAGGAACGTGGCGTTTCCAGGCGGGTTGGCGTTGGAACTCGACGAACCTACACAGTAAGCTCTGGGTACGGATAGACTTCCCAACCTTGTCCACCGCTGCTATTGCCCGCCTCAACTGTGAGATGGTGCTTGTCAGGCAAGACATTGATAGTGCGTGCATGCATATGATGATATAGCGGGCAGGGTAAGGTTATGCTGCTGTCTCGAGTTGTGTGCAGCAACAATACCTAAACAGACGGTCAGCTCGACCGCTTCCTCTTTCTCGTCGTCCAGTCTCACCCACGGTGCAAGGTATGAGGGTGTGGAAGTGTATGCACACGGAGTATAGGTATTGCCCTCTGCGTGCGTGTATGTATCCGTAGCCGCCAAACAATGGGAATTGCAAGTCCGCCCCAAGTCGATGGTTCGCCGACTGCACACGGGATTGGAAGAAAGATCCCAGGTTGAGGCATGCGAGGGCGGTGGGGTTCGTGACAGGTGGGCGAAGCCATCGGGGGAGGAGGAGGCGAAAAAGTCGAGGACGAGGGAGCGGGTGTTCATCAAGATCTGGATTCGGCAAAGGGGCTGGAATTTTGCCGCCCATGATTGGTTCTGCAGCCTCGGTCTCAGTCGCTCATTGGTTGCCTCATCTCCGTGCATCTGTCCCTCCCACGTCGACTGTCGTCGCCTCCTTTTAATGAGGCTTTCCAACCCTCGGTTTTTCAAGAAATTGCCATCCACTGAAGCAACCGCCCAGCCGCTCCTTTGCTGCTTTGTTGCTGTTGCCGACTTGACAACTTGTCCATCATCCATGACGGCTCGGCGAGACCCACGGAACATCCTCCGATGCAAACCCAGTCGGAAGGCAAGGGAGACCGTGACCGGGAATCTGACTCCTACACCTCGTCCAGTCGGGCCTGCGTACTGCATCCAGACAACACTCCTTGGCTGCGCCGCGCTGCGCTGCGATGCTATGCTATGCGATGTGTTTGCGATGCACCAAGGATTCCGACAAAATATTGTTGATGCATCAAGCAACAAAACAGCGAGCACCCAGGAAACGAGGGTCCAGTTGATTGACAGCGGCATTTGCTGGTGCATACGTGACACTCGGGGACGAAACAATGCTTTTCGCCCTGTCTTCGTCAGGGATGTGTCCCGGTTATTGAATTCGGTGCCGATCTTTGCTGTCTCAGCCGGTGTTTTTCAGGATCTTGCTTGTTCGCCTCTCCATGTCCACCAAGCAAAAGTCCAAGTCCAACCGAAGAACGATGTAATCTCGCAATGCTGGCTTATGAGGCCCGCAACACATTGACTACTTGCGCCTGTCAATCTTGATTTTTCGGTCTTCTAGGCTCGGACGAGACGAGCACAGACTGCGGGCAGGTCGAACTCTATCTGCTTGACTCTTCTCTGCGGCTTCGACGAGACTCCATGGAACCTATATCCCGACTTCCCCTCTTGGTAGAAGTGGAGAAATTGGAGGTCTTCGTCACTTTGGGGGATGATGCTGTGATGCCATCCCAAGAACATTAATAATTCGATGAGGGGGTGCGTTTCGTCTGCCGTCGATCGGTTGCGCACTAGCAGCTCGATTTCCACGATCAGCAGAAATCGCAACGTACACTCCTCCGCCAAGTTGAAGCCGATGGGACGCACGCTTCGACTGGACATCGTGAGTTGGACTCGGAAACCCCCAAAATGGTAGATGATGGACGGAGGGATACCAAGGTCTCGGGTGCTGCGTTGCCGATGCACTAGATGGTCCCTGAAGGCTGACAGACCCTGAAAATATTGAGGCGCTCAGCTCGTCGCAGATATCCTGGAATACCTTCATCAATGCCAAGGTGTATGAGCTGGTAGCAGTGGATTCGGCCCAGACATGCCGACACACGGATGATAGAAGAAGGAATCAAAGCAATGGCCATCTGGAGGCTGGCTTGCCTTGTCAGAAGGAGGAAGTCCAACAGGGTCCATTGACAGGGGGTTCATCATGAGGTGCCTGGGCACTGTCTTATCGCTTATCTTTATCACCTATCACCGATTTTAGAACTAACGGTTTTGGGTCTAGGCCATCGGAAAATAAGTGGATCTGCGAACGATTCGGTCGTGCCTGCTTCATCTAACGACATCTCGTTCCTCCTTACAGCATAAGAGTCCGCGATACTTCACGTTGCCCGCGCAACAGATGCTCGCACACTCGCCATCAAACCTCCCACATATCTTTTTTCGCTTCTCTGTCTGAATCTCTATTGAACTTCGTGGCTTCTGTCTATTTACGGTAGTCAAGCAAATGACTGGATAGCAGCACACGTTACGGCTGGGCTGG